AACTGTAGAATACTACCTCACAGGCTGTCATCTTATTTTGAAATGAAATTATTCTAAAGAACTTGCAAGGTAATAATGTTTCATAGGAATAGAAAGGAAATATTTTATAAGAGAACTAGAAATAATTTGGCATAATTTTAAATAATACACTTTGAAGCTGAGGATGTAGTTCAGTGGCAGAACCCTTGCCTATTATGTGTGAGGTCCTGGGTTCCATCCCCAATACCATAAAAACATCAAATATGCACATGTATATACATATATATTTATATCTGTGTATATACACATATTTATATTATACATGTGCATATATACATATACATACACACATATACACAATTTAAAGTGCCTTGGAAATTACTATCCAGGGGCTGGGGATGTGGCTCAAGCAGTAACGCACTCACCTGGCATGCATGGGGCACTGGGTTCAATCCTCAGCACCACATAAAATAAAATAAAGATGTTGTGTCCATCGAAAACTGAAAAAATAAATATTAAAAAATTCTTTCTCTCTCTCTTCTCTCTCTCGCTCTAAAAAAAAGAAATTACTATCCAACTATAAACTATCAAACCCTACAGATATAATCTCTCTCTCTCTCTCTCTCTCTCTCTCTCTCACACACACACACACACACACACACACACACACACATTTTTAAAAAATACTTTTAGTTGTTGATGGTCCTTTATTTTAATTATTTTTATGTGGTGCTGAGGATTGAACCCAGTGCCTCACACATGCTAAGCAAGTGCTCTACCACTAAGCTACAAACCAACCATGGACACACATTTTTGAGGTTTATAATTTGAAATTTGAAAATTTTGCGTGACCTTAAAGAATTCTTGCACAATCAATGAGTAAGGTGGGCTTGGGGAAGGGGGCTTGTTAGTAATATTCATGGGATGAAAAAGATATTTTCAAATTTAATCAGGAATCAATATTAATCACAAGACTTTCTGGAAAGCTATCAAGTCACCAGAGTTCTGATTCCAGGACAGAAGGATGACCTTATTCATAGAAAAAAAAAATCCATTTTTTTAACCTGCTCCCACAAAGTTTTTCTATGCTCTAGCCGCAAAACAATACATAATGGCCAGGTGACATTTTTTAATATGCTAGTATGATATTTCTTTATTAAAACATATCATGCTAATCATCTTTTAAAAAAAAATTTGGGGCCAGCTCAGAGATTAACGAGTATGTGTGATATTTAATGGCTATCCCACACAATCAGGATAGTTGGCAATAACTTTAAAGTAATTTAGATGCCTTGAAATCTCTGGCATATAAAAACCACCAGTTCATCTAACTCTGACATCATTAAATGAGACTATTCTTTTTATCAGTGAAATCACTTGGTTCCTTCCAACCTCTGCCCTCCTAACTTCTGCATAAAGTATTCTTTAAAATGTGAAAATTATTACCAAGGGATATCATGAAAAAATAATTAGAAGAGTAACAAGCAGGCTCCTGTGCTCTGCCATGCGCGTGAACCTATCCATTATTGAATTAAGTATGGTGTCTTTTTCACCTCCCTTGAATAGCTATAAATGAAGCTGCCTCTTCTTCAGCAAGAAAAATCCAGCCCAGAACAATGACATTTGCTGATCAATATTTGGATCAGTAAAAGAGAAAAAAAGAAGAAGAGGGAAGCTGGGACTTAAAATATAAGAAATAAATAAGCTAAAGCCTAAAATGGAATCATCTGGAAATGAGAATGTAAATTCATGTTAAAATCCACCATGTTTAAAATTTGAGCTGAATCAGATACATTGCTATAATATCCTGATCGTTTGTCCTGAAAACTAATTAGAAAATCTGGAGATAGTGATTGGTATTCCTAACATGTCCTGGAAGCCTCCCATTTGGAAGCAACCCAGAATCTAACAATCAAACAAGTTTCACTAACCAAGATTCACATTCGCAATATGCGTCACTCAGTGAGAATATGAGAACAATAACTTGGTGGACTGGGTGAGAGACAAAAATGTAAGAGAAACTATGCTCTGACAATGACTATAAAACAGCATTCCATCAATAGTACATTCAGTTCTTTATAAAGCAAATGTGTTGTTTCTTTGCTTTTGTAAACAGATATGTCTTTAAACATGCAAGAGAAACCACACAAAGTAACTGGAAATCAATCATGTCAACATTATGCTCTGCTTATTTCTAAACCATAGGCTGGAATTCAGCTAACCTAAACTTTACTGAATGTTAATATAACAGCTGGCAACATGAATAAAAAAAAAAAGGATTCCAAGAGTAATGAAAATGAAAATATAGCACATGACATTGATCTAAGTTTTGACAGACGCTTTTGGTCAGCATAACATATGAGCTCAGAAATGAAGTTCCAGCCATGTACCTTTCAGAAAAGACTTCCTCTATAAATAAAGTTGTTATAGAAAATGACTAGCAGCCTCATACCCTAAGCATCTTGGCCAATAATAAATTGAACATTAATGGAAACTGACTATTTCTTACATGTCCCCATGAACTAATAGACTAAACATCCAAAGCATCTGGAATTACTTGCTCAGCTATGGGCTGTCATACAGTTTATCATCCCGGGACCTATTTGATGTGGCTGGTGCTCTTAAAAGCCCCAGTAATTCTTCTGCTAAACTAAAATTCCATTCTGAACAGCAGTAGCATTTGTTGATCATCCAGACAGGTGGGAAGAGAAGGGGCTTTGAAGAGAACAACTTATCTTGCTCAAATAATATGCACAGAAGAGAAGAATAGGACCAATGCATTATTTTTAAATTGTGTCTGGCCAGCATGTCAGTATTGATTGAAGAATCCCACAGCACAGAAAAGAGTCATGTCTGCATTCAGAGCTGAAGAGGCAGTTATCCACTCTATTTCTTGTCAACTGGTTAGATCAGTCTCTCATTTTTAGGACAAATAATACTAAAAGTCATGAGCTTCTTGGGGGACTCTAAAGAAAATGTTGCTCCCCCCACCTCCAACCAAACTTTAAAAAAAAATAATAAAATAAATAGGCTTCCTACCCTTCAAGTAGAAAGGCAATTTGATGTGAAAATGTTTTCTCCTAAGTGATGGAATGTGCAGTCATGCACCAGCAACTCGGTGCTGAATATCAACTTGCCTGTTCTGGATGAAACCGCTCTGGGGTTGGACAGAGCACGCAGCTTAGAAAAGGAGGCACTTCAGTACATGAGGGGAGGCTGTGCACTCCATTTCAGAAGACGGAGGTTTATCTTCCAATGGAGGGCTTTGATGTTATTCATATGCTAACAATATCACCATTTCCTCGAAGCACTCAATACTCAGGGAATAAAAGACATCATTTGCTGACATGGGGCTCCGCGCTTTCTGTCCAGCGTACTGATCAACAATCTGCATTCAGCTTCACAGCTAAGCCACCGCATAACCTTTAAATTGTTCCTTTAACACTTTAAAATTCTGGTCAAAATAATTTACCATTTTATAGAATAAAATGATGAAACAAAGAACTCTAACCGTATTTTCCCACTGCTCCTAAAATGTAGCTTCAGTGCCCCGAGGGCTCCTTTCATCTTGTCTGAGAGCTGGCATATGATGTGATTGTTACCATAGCTGGACACCAGATGAAGTGAATTATCTAAACTGCCAAGGTTCCCACTTTCTTTCCAATTTAAACATCAATTTAACACAGAAACTGAAGGGTATTATGAAAGCTTTAATATGAACCATTTCAGACAGGAGGAAAAAAAAATACTGAAAGGATTTTTCCAAACAGCCAAACAAATATGTAATTTTTTTTTTTAACCTAAAGATGAGTCAGAAAAATGAACACACCACCAGAGTACATGCAGCACACTTTCAGCAGCAACAGCAGGCATCGGAGAAGGGCCTGTCTCTCTTTGTCTTAAATAAACATGCATTTCTGAGCAAGGGAGGATTTTACTAAAGAAAATAACCTGGGTGAACTTGTCGAGTCGTTAACAAAGTACAAATGATCATCAGCCAAGAGAAGACTTCTGATTTAAAGCATTTCAAAGTGCATATCATCAACGTGGATGATCTGGAATGTTTTTAATAGTCCTCCCTAGACTATTAAGGTCCTTTCATTATATGACTTGCTTTTCTCATGGAAATGTTTTCTCCATTTGGATCACTCGCTGTTAACAGAATGTGTAAGCATATGTCCTGCATATCTCTTTGAAAATGAGACACTTCATAGCTAAATCATAACAATAAAAACTGATGCTTTCTTACACAAAATAGAGCATTTACTAGTATATTCCACTCCAATTAAAGCATATAAATTTGAATCAAAAGGATGTGAATTATTAGTAGGCATAATCCTTAATCTTTTTTCAAGCCTTCACAATATTAATGGTATTAATATGCAAAATACATAAAGAATTGTATTCAGGATTATTAAAATGTACCCTATCGAAATATGAAATTTAAAGATTTTAAATAAAATTTGAAGTTATATTTAACTAAGATTTAATATACACACATTAAATATAATTTTGTTATCAAAAATCATTCCTAAAAATGAAAATTATTTAAGATTTTCCACTGGAAAATCATCTTCCTTAGAGTTAATCAATTATTAATAGAAAGATGATAAAAGAGAAAAAAAAGAAAGAAGAAAAGTTGGGAGGGAGGGAGGAAGGACGGAAGGAAAAGAAATAAGGCTTTTGCTATAAGAAGTGCTCCAATTACTATTTTCTTCTTAAGGGTATAATTTGGGAAAGAACAAGACTATGAAATCCATATGCATTAATTATACAAATTATAAATGGTGCTACAAAAAGTAAAAGGAATACTTCCATATAAGGGTTACATAGCTGTTTCCATATGGAGTGCACAAGGAATATTATTGACAAATCCAGAGCAGCCATATGCAATGCTCAATGGCGCTTCCAAATATAAAATAAATACAATATGTAATATACTTACAGCATGCTGCATACCAAATGATCAAGCAATTTACTGAAGATTAGCATTTAAGAAACAAATACTACTACAAATACCATATGCACCTATTAATGATTTCTTTTTTCATTGCTAGTATTCATCAGGTTGATCTTATATTAGAAACAAGGTTTCAGAGAATTTTCTGGTCCAGGGCTCTTTGTGGTAAATTGAAGGAAAATTATAGAACCGTCTTGCCAAAAGCAACAGTAGAGATCATATAGTCTTATTTTTTTAAATGGGAAAATTGAAGCCCAGAAATATTAAGTTGCTCAGGCAAGATTACCAAGCCCATTAATGGCAGAGTTACAGATCTACTGGCTCTCAGCACAGGCCCCAAAAGAAAACTATCCCCATTAGAGCCTTTATATTTAGGGCGCAAGAGCGCACGCGTGCATAAACACACACACACACACACACACACACACACATTTTGATCCTCATTGGCTCCTCTGTTGTTCATCTGCGGAAACACTCAACCAACTCTGGGTCTGACAATACCATTCCATTCCCAGTGTGATTTCACTGACTATGACTCACACCTCCTTGGAATCCCTAGGGAACAGAGGGAGATATTGACCTCGAAAGAAAAACAGACATGACTCCATGAAAGACATAACAGAGCCTAAAAGTGTTTAATTCTGAAATAGGTTCCACAGAGAATGCTTTGAAGAGGATGCTTTGTTTTTCTTCCAGAGCACTTGTGCCAAGGCCTCTCCTCTCAGCCATCAGGTCACAACTGGAAGACAAAGCAAAAGAGCCTAAAAACTACAGAAGAATATGTGGCTCTCAAATATATAAAAATTATATAACTTTCCACCCCTCCCCCACCATGACAGAGAAAAGCTTCTCCCATCCCCACCACCCTGGAAAAGCGTTAAATTATTCAAGAGAACTTCCAGATATATGCTTAAAAATAAAATATCCACATTAAGGAAATCTGGCCAATTGTTCAAGATGCACTTTTTTCCTCCAACAGAACCTTGGGAACTTTCAGAATACTGGAATGCCAAACATCTAGACAGGTTTTTGGTAAATTAAAATAGTATAATAACTGTTTCCCCCTGAATATCATCTTTTGAAAGACAGACACAGATCCCACTAAAAGCATTTCCTCAAAAACAGGATTATAATAGGAATTCAGTGTGTTCCAACTTGAACAGCCATGCCAGAAATCCTCCAGTTTGGATTGGAGGTGGGAAGAGAGTTAATTTTTAAAAATATTACCAAAACAGACAATTTTTATGTCGATCACAGAAGGGCATGGTTGTCTATGAATTGCTGAAATTGGGGCTCCTTTGTAAGCCTTAAGAGGATTTGTTATTAAGTTTTAAAATCATTCCCCAACCATCAAATTTAATAATTCAATTTTTAACATTGTTCATAAGGTTCTTAGCACTGTCATTGACCAGACATATGGAAAGATTCTGGTACCAAATTAAGCACTGTAATTCCTTTCCTGACTCAGTAAACCCCTACTCTCCTATCAATCTAATTATAGTGAAAATTGCCCTATGTTATTTTAATTTTCAATATAAAGTGTTTTTAAATAGATTAAATGTAGTATATGAAAATATCTTTATGAATGAAGCTATTTACTAGCCATTTGTCAGTTTCAAAAAAAAAATCAATAACCTGCAAGCATAGCAATTATTTACTAAAATCTGTACCCACCTTGTCAGTAGTACAATGTAATAGCTAAACCCACCAAATTTAATATTGCTCATTTATAATGAGACAATGATGAGCTTATGTAATAGTGGCATTGTGAAAAGTACTGCAGCCAGGCCTAGAGTTGTCACTGAACACGACAGCTCTTACATCTCCTGCTGACATGGCATATGGTCAGTCACACTTTGTATTCTTTAAATTCAAAGTCCACAAGGCAACAGCAGATGATGGATCTGGATTTAGCCATTTCTAATACAGTAAGTAGTGATTGATGACATCACCCTGATGGAGTTATATGTGAATTTACATTTCTGGGCAAGTTCAGTTGAAGTTATTCTCAAAGTGCATTCTCCAGGTCAGTTTTCATATACCTGCAGATTAATTATACTGAGGATGTCCTTAAAAAAACATGAACCAATAATCATTAAATTGACATGCAGTTTAGAAAAATTTCTGAAATAAGATCTAAAAAGGTATTACAGATAAACATTGAGTCTCACACTCTATCATGTTTATTATCTATCTGTACTAGAGTTTGATTTGCATAATATCACATTAAGATAAGTTATTTTTAATATTGTTATAATAATCAACTTTTTTATTTCTGTGGACTATAGTGGAATAAAGTATTTTAAAAACCCATCAAATTATGGGGTAAAAGAGAAAATAATAGTACCTAAAATTCTATGTATAGAATATCTATCACACTGCTATTTGAATTAAGGTCTAAGATTCAGCACTATGGCTAATCACTTGGAAACATGTTAGAAATGCAGACTTTCAAATGTCTCTGGACTTCAAAAACCATAATCCATAGTTTTGAAAGCTCTCCAGGTGATTTATATGCACATTAAATTTTGAGTTGCACTGATGTAGCTATCTTTATGATGTTAAAACCAAAGAGAAATTTAAAACTCAATATATTACCTTTACTTTTGTCCTGTAAAACATATAAAATGTCAACTTGCTTTTGATACATATATTTATAAAGTCTCAGGGCTAAATACATCAATAGATCTTCTTTAAACTACTTGGGAAATGTGTTTTCTATCCCCAAATATTTTGAAATAGAAAATTACAAGGCTGAGATGCAAGAGATCCGAACACTAGCTCTTTCTTGCCAGTATATGTATGTCTTTGGGTACATCAACTATCTTTCTATGTCCATTCTGAGTTTGACCCTGTAGTAGGTTCTTGGGATTCAACATCAGACAAAACAGACACAGTCTCTTTGCTTCCGTTTCCTATCTGTATATGAAAGAACACTCTAGGCAAAAGAAACTAATACCTATAAATAAAATTTCATGTCACTTTTGAAGAAGCATAAGTAAGGAGTAGGTGCAGAGGAGTACAGGAAAGATGTTGGTGTTCTGGGAAGATAGCCAGGGATTAAACAGAGAAGATCCATTCACTGTGTGTAGAAGTCTCATCTCAGGCAAGGGAAAGCCATTTCCAGTATCTGGGAATGTGAACATGAGATCTGAATCTGAGAACTACTTCTCTGGCATTGAAAAGAGGCTAAAAACTCAGGGTATCCAGTTATGAAGGACAGTGTCGTTGACCAGTGAAGAGATGGTAAGAATTTGTAGTGGGAGAAATGGCATAGATAGAAAGGGGGACTAAAACTAATTGGGGTGGCGGAGGGTGTTAAGAGGGAAGAAACAATTAGCTGTGACTAACTCCAATGTTTCTAGTAGAGAAACTGAAGAAAACAGTAAGGCTGTTAACTGAGAAAAAACATGGTGGCAGGGAGTAGGTTAGGAGCAAGGAAAAAAATAAGTTTCGCTTTCAGCACACTGGGTTTGAGAGGCCCAAGGATATTTAAGTGGTGACACCAATAAACAGGAAGGAATAAGGATCTAGTCCTCAGACAAAATGACAGATGAAGGACACACTAGTAAACCCCCAGTATCAAAATGGAATGCGCTAACATTTTGAGGATATATATATATATATATATATATATATATATATATATATATATGGAAAGACATCTGATGATAGTACATATGTATAGAGACTTTAGAAAGAACATCAGAAGTGTAATCAGCCAAGATTATTTTAACTCTAAGAATCAAATATCAGTTTTTAGCAGCTAGGAACTCCTCAACAAGCTGTAATGAACAGAAGTGTGTTCTATAGATAAAAAGAAGGGTATATGGAAAGATTGTCTTCTGTTTGACAATGACCTCCATGTTTGTCATTTCTAGACCCAAGGGGCATATAATCACAATATGTCTCACCTTCTCATTTATGTGAGGTCACAGGTGTTAAATGTTTTCTTCTCTTTATAAATGGTGAAACATGCTGAGAAGGCCCAATACTCCCATTTCCCAATAAAGTGCCATGTCCAGTAGCACCAACTAAATTGATGTGTACACATTCTTATGAATATTAAACACATATGGATCCCCCCAAATATCAATAACTAAAGGATAAACAACACAAAACACTTCAAATCAAGAAGAGCATCTGTTCCAGTTTCTGTCCCAGAAACAAACTTCTTCACGATGTAGTTAGGACAGGAGAGTGGAATATCAGACCTATTTGATTTAGAAATTAAAAAAATAAATCCAGTTTAGATGATCTGATGTCCTTTCAGCTGCTAACTGCTTCCCTGTTCACAACAGTTAAGAGAATTATAGAAGATTTGAGACAATTAAAGCACTATATGTAGAATTTCCTTTAAAATTAGCACTACAGTTAATAATCAAGAAGTCTGTGTTTGCTTGTGTGAATCAACTACCTAAATGGAGCAGCACAGGACTGTCTGTCCCTCAGAATGTAAGACACTCCCCTGGACATGAAATTCTGGTTCAAAGATGTGGTGAAAATAAAGGGTTTCATTGGACTTAAGAGAAATATGCCAATGTTTGCTTCTTGTTTACCCATATTCAGGGTCTGCTTGGACTCCCAGGTAAGAAATGGATACTTTGGCACCTAATAAAACCTCACCAGAAGCACTGAGGAGAGTTCTGGTGGGGGATCTAAAGAAAGGATAGTCTCTCACTCTCACTCTCTCTGAAACATCCCCCCCACACACACCCTGAGGACACAACTTGAGTCAAAGGCAGCTGCTTGGGCTGGCAATACTACTCAGTGGTAGAGCTCTCGCCTATCACGTGCAAGCCCATGGGCTCAATCCCCAGTAACACACACACACACACACACACACACACACACACACACACACACACACAGTAGCTGCCTTCCCCCTTTACTTCTGGGAAGGAGCAGAGACAGCAAAAAGAAGGAACAGAGAAGGGAAACAGGTTGGAAAGGTAACAGTACTGTGAAGGCCACCATACAGTAATACAAACTAAGTGGACTAGTAATTAATTCAGAAGCAAGTGGTCATTGTGGATTAGTGTGGGGGAAGAACGTAACCTGAACTCCTTTAGAAAAACACTGACTAAATGTGAAACAAAGTGCCAGAGTCAGTGAGGAAACTGGTACAAATCAATTCAACGGAAAGTGTTTTTCAGAGTTTGACATCAGGCTCAGCAGAGAAGAGTCCTTCTCCTCCTTCCTTCTGCAAGCCTGAGGACAGATCTGGTTCCAACAGACCCCGGCAGAGAAAGGGTGGGACAGAAATCAATGTTGAGGCCAGGGTAGGCATATAGACCTGAACTTGGATTCCTGTTTATAGTAACTGGCTAGCTGTCAGACCTTGGGAAACAAACTTAGCAGTAAGCCTCATTTTCGTCATTTGTAAAATGGAGATAAAACTATCTATCAATGGTTTGTTGTGATATTTTTGCAACATAAAAATCATATGTAGCCCTTTTGTGGTAATAGTTTGTTAACTACTCAATAAATAAGAAATATGACTATAGCTATGGAAGTCGGAATCAAAATAATTGTTTACTTACAGAACTCACCTGAGTAGGGGAATACTTTATACTTATTATTTAATCCTTACAATCATCTTTTTACAGATGAGGACTCTAAGACCCAGAAAGATTAAGTAATTTACCAAGTATTTGAACCTGAAGCCGTCTAGTTTTAGATTCATGCTCTAAAATCTATGCTATATTACCAGAAGGGACCCTGAAACAAATCTGCATCACAATTACATTTTACAGATGACAAAACTGAGGCTTACAATGGGGATGCCAGTTCTTTTCCATCACACAACTAGGACAGTCATTCCACTGCAGGGATTTGAAAGTCTGTTTTCAGTGGAAACACTTCCCCATCCCAACTGAATAATTCAGGATATGTCCTGAAGGGTTAAAATAATTGTCACATTTTTTTTAATTGTCACATTTTATCCAGCTATTTTTTCTCTACAAAAAAATACAATGAAACATGTTATTTATTCATGTCAGATTCATAGTGGGAAAGACATCTTTGTAGCAACACTTGATAAATCTGTAACTGGTAGTGTTTGTTTTTACAATAAATGTTAGCTAGTGGGAAGAGAGGAAGGAACCAACTTTTATTAAGTAATCAGTATGCTACGTATTCCATGCACTACAAAAACTGACAAGCAAACTCTGATCCACACAGATATGGGACAGGTCCTCTGGCCGAGGTGGGGTGCGGGTAGTGTCTAATTAATGTTAAGAAGAATAAGAATCTTATTTTTGAAGCTGTAAATAAAACACAAGCAATTGCTTTATTGTTCAGTCACATTTAATTGGTCTGGGGGTGGGTCGACTAAGATGTGCATTTATACTGAAGTAGAAATCTGATTATCACAGCTTTTGGAATTCACCCAGTTGTTGAGTATTCATTGATTTGGTAAGTGATGAATTACAAGCCTTCTTGGTACATAGGCAAGTTTCTTCAGACTACACAGGCTGCCTTAAGCTACCGACACTCTACCTCAAAACTGGCACCTCCCTCCAAGGAAGTGTTCAACTTTAGGGCTAAAATTTGCCTTAGGTTGCAATGTAGGGAAAGGGGGAAAGGAAAGAACAGCTCCCTCTAAAAAGTTGTCCTAAAACTACCTTTGGACAAATAGTTCCAAATAAAGAATTGTTCTTTTCTTCAGGCCTCTTCTTCTCCCACCTTGATGTGGATTGGGGCCACCGTAACAACACTAGTGAATTATCTAAATGAAAATAGTCATTCCCCAAGACAGAGACACCAAAATTCATCTGCAGAACCTCAGGTAGTACTTCTCAAAATAAAGACTCCAGGCTTTCAAACCATCTTCACACTCATTAACTAACTCATATTATTTTTTGAAATTTTTATTTGTTCTTTTTAGATACACATGACAGTAGAGTATCTTTTGACATATTATACATACTTATATATATAACTTATTCTAATTAGGATCCCATTCTTGTGGTTATACATGATGTGGAGATTTACAGTGGCATGTATTCATATATGAACATAGGAAAGTTATGTCCAATTCACTTCACTAACTCATATTATTTTCTCCAGGTCTTATAAGTGTTAAAACTGTGCAGTCCTAATTTACTGGTGTTGTTCTGTCTTGTCCACTGGCCTCAAGCAGACACTTTGCCTCTACTGAGCCATCTACTAGAGCTTCTGCATTCCAACCTACAAGTAACAGCAAGGGTGTGGTTGAAACAAGACTACAGGAATGTGATTCAACAATGCCCTGCCTTCACAAGTTGAGAGGTAACCAGTATAGGCTTTGGCAAGGAAGCCTTGCTGGGTTGAGAAGAACAGGAGGACAATCTCATCTTTCTGCACTCTTGCACCTTGTGTCTCCTGTCCAAGACTGCAGCGATTCCAAGTGCTGACTCTGCTGAAGCTGAAGAACGCAGTGGGGCAAGTGTTATGGAGAGTGATTGATTGAAATTCAGAGCACTTTGCAGAATGATTTGTTTGACATTCCCAGTAGGAAACTCTTGTTTGTTGAACTTATTATTCATTCATGTATTCATGAAAAAAATACAATAAATGCATAATCTCTGCATAGTGCCTCAATGATCACATTGAAATGAACCCAGAGCTTTGCAGTGCTAAGCAAGGTCTTTAGTTTGCAACAGAACACTTTTACATTGCAATATCATTAACTGTGTCTAGAGTTTACATTATGCTTATAAATCAGCCAGGGAAATTTAACCTGCATTGTAATTTAAGGTTATACAGAGAATCAGACATTAAAAATGCATATGCATAATAATAACTTCTTGTGTGATTCTTTTTTTTTTTTTTTTAGTTTTTCTCCTACTGAGTGATTTAACAATTACCATGTTGAGATGTAACTGAGTCTGTTCAGCTAGTGTTTGTGTTTTGACTTTTTGACAACTAGAATACAAGCCAGGGGAAATGCAGAAATTATTTCCAACATCCATGGGTAACCTGGGAAAATGACTCTTTAAATAAGCTATTAGGGTAGGGGGAAACATGTTACATTATTTGGAAAACAACTGCTGTTAAATGCTGAGTTTTAAAACAACAGCTATTACAAAGCCTAGAATAGTCAGGTCAAAGAGTTAAACATATAAGCATATTCTCAGTCTGGAATGTAAATGTTTACATGTACAGCTGCTATGGTGATAATCTCAGACCTTCCTATGGAGAACAAGAGCAGAGATTATAAGAAAGGACCATTGAAGCATCATGCTCTTTTCAAAAGTAAGCATTCCTTTTAAGTCAACAGAAGACAAAAACAAATTCTAGAGCCACGTCATCTTTCCTTTTGCCACTGAATTTTTTCAATAAAAATCTCTTTGATTTCAAATACCCATAGTAGCACGGGCTTCTATAATTTCCCAGCAAAATATATATGTGTGTGTGTATATATATATAGTTGAGGTGTATTAGTCCATTTTCTGTTGCTATGGTTAACTACCTGAGGCTTGTACTTCACAAAGAGTTTTATTGAATTCACAATTCTGGAGATCAAGCACATACAGCACCTACTCAGGTCTGGTGAGGGTTTTCTGGCTATATCACAATGTGGCAGATGACATCACGGTGGAAGGCCATATGAGAAAGAGAGATAACATGTCAAGATAGGAAACCAGAGAGAATTATAATATATATATTTATTAATGAAATCACATCCTTCTCACATGGTTAAAGTCAACTGCAAACACCAGGCCTCACTCCAATTTCAAGGTTGAAAGAAGCCACTAAAAGAAAACTAACACCTGCAAGTGCTTTCTAAAGCCTGGAGAAGCCAGACCCCTGATTTCTTTGGTCACCCTGATCATGGTCTTGTGTGTTATTTGTCTCTATAGAGTATTTGTAGAACTTCTACACTAAATACCTCACATTGCTGTGCAGCCAGAGCAAACACCAGCTAGCCCCTTGCACTTTTGATTTTGTAACTCTACCCAATTTTTTCACTGATATTAATTATCCTCCCTGCTATAGTTTGGATATGATTTGTGTAGGGGAATAACAAAGTTTATTCCAAATATATGTCCCCCCAGTTTTCACGTGCTAGAAAGTTGGTCCCCTATGTGATGATGTTGGGAAGTTATGAAATCTTTCACAGGTGATGCCTAGTGGAAAGTGATTATTAGGTCATTGAGGGTACCACCTTCAGAAGTTATTAATATAGTTCTCAAAGGACCCCAGTTAGTACCCATGAGAAACATTTGTTACTAAAAGAGCAAGCCTGGCCTGTGAATCCCTCTGGCTTCCTGTATTGTCATGTGATCTCTCCTCCTCATATGGCCTTCCACCATAATGTCATCTACCACACTGTGATATAGCCAGAAGGCCTTCACCAGTCCCAAGTAGATGCTGTATATGTTTGGATCTCCAGAATTGTGAGTTCAATAAAACTCTTTATGAAGTACCAACCTCAAGCAGTTATCTATAGCAACAGAAAATGGACTAATACACCTCAACTTTAATGGTTCTCAACATCTTACCATTTTGTAACATGCTCCTATTTAAAATTTTTCTTCCTACACACATATTTCCAGAATCAATAATCAATTGCTCTTCAATAATATATTTTGGATCTGCACTTTGTTTTTCCATTTCCTAAACAACTTACCTAAATTAATCATGTGGTCTCACCTTTTCCTCTGCAGAAACACCCCAAGAATGCCACTCTGCCTCAATATCTGTGCAGAGCAATATGCCAAAGCTGCTGAAATAATTTTTCTCAAAGTCTGTTTCCATTAAATGGTCTCTGAAACTCATGAACATTGTATTTGCTTCTCATGATCTACTGTTTCATCTTAGAACTTCCTTGCCCAATCTTTAGAATATTCCTCAGAACTCTCCAACCCACCTTGCCTCTTTCATGTCATCATCCCACAAAACCTTCCGTTGTTGTCTGCATGTTTTTTCATATGATGCTGTCTTCTCTTGAGCCTTCTCATTTAGTAAACTTCACTCACTTCAAAAATATCAAAATGCATTCCTTGAAATAGCAAATAAGATGAGCAAAAGTTTAGCAAATGAAACAACAAAAAAAGATTAAACAAAATTTAAAATGTTAGAAATGAGAAGAAACATACCTGGAAAAATGGTGAAGATTTTAATTATGAATAGAATACTGTATGTGTTTGGATCTCCAGAATTGTAAATGAATAAATTTGAAAATGGACAAGCTGAAAAATAATTTAGAAAAATAAAAACATTAAACCTTCCTTCTATGTGCTAAAAAAGCTTCTGATACAGATATTTTCATGAAAAACTTAAGATCCATGTATAAATATCATTTTTAAAATTATTTAAAAGCATGTAAAAAGTTTAAATTACCATAACTTTGATGCTAAAGTCAGGGGGAAATACAATTCAAAAACATGACCAATCAACCACACTTATAAATAAAAACGTATTAATTAAAATATTAATGAAGTTATCAAAAATATGTTGAGGACTATACCACAAAAGATAGGATTTCAAATATCAGTGTAACTAGTAATAAAATTTTAGTATATTAGAAGAGTTAAAGCTAGAAAAA